TAATATTTAAATTATTAAAATTTGATGTAATATTTTAATTATATAACTAATATAATATATATTTATTGTAATAATATTAAAAATATTTTACAAAATTTAAAAATCCTGTAAAGTTAATATGTCATATAAATTTGATTTTGTCACATATGATGATCAAAACATGACAATTAACCAATCAAATTGATAACTGTGATATTTATATAATATCAGAGATAAATTGACCAAAATTTCACCTCTAACAAGAAAGAAGAAAAATAAATTTGAGTATTTAAAAGAGAGATAGGTCATCTAACAATGCTTAGCAAAGAGAAGAGTCAGATTTTGATTTAGCACAGGTCTAAGACATCTACTAAGTATTGTTAGGTAAGTAATTTAATATAGTTTTTAACAAATATATAACTTGGGTTTATTAAAGAGCTTTTATTAACAAATTTATTGAATATAGGTAAATTATATATATACTGAAAAGTACTATTTGGACAAGAGAAATTTGACCTTTTATTTATAACAAATTTTACAAGACAAAAAAAAAACAAGATTGAACATTTTCCTATCTCTTGTTATTGACCCATCATTGAATCAAGCTATTTGACCCTTTTCTGGTCTAATTCCAACACTTATTCACAGCCATTCTTATTGAAGCTTCAGCAGAATCAAAAAAAAGGCAAAAGAAGGCAAAATAAATGAAGGCTTCTATACTGTCATCATTTTTTACTTGTTATTTCTATTAATTCACTTATTGACTCTTCTATCAAACTATGTGCTTTTCTTTTTCACAGCCACACACTTTATTTGACAAGGTAATATTACCTTGATAGCTGTTAACCAAATCAGATAAGTATCTTTTTCTTCAATAGAATCGTTGATGGGAGCTTGGCTTTCATGAGATTACTATCTAATACTTTCATATAGTAGGCCTGGTTCTAATAGATTTACTTGCATATGATCATCAAATAGAAATTATGAGTCTCAGGGCAGTGTAATGGCTCTTTGTATAATATTCATACATTTCACATACATCATTCTGTATGATTCTTGATTTCTATGAATAGGCAATTTTGCTAGTAATAGTAATAATGTTGATCAAAACATAATTGCTAACTAATCAAATCAATAATAATCAATAACAATATATAATTATTGCCAACCAATTTATTATCAAAAAGCTTTATTTTTCATTTAATACAGTAATATATTTTAATTGTAACTTTATTTTATTTTTCTGTAATACTCTTACTAGAGATTCTTTAAAGACAAATTGAAACCACTAGCTTATATCAAAAATACTACTCGTACATATTTGATCTAAACAACATCTATATTAACTTACTAGACAATTGATATCTATAAAATAGATAAATAAACTTTTTTAAGATTATTATTGAATATAAACCAAAAAAGTTTACATTTCAATACTGCAATACCAAAACTTTTCTTGTATTTCTTTAAAGATCTTTGCCGTATACTGTACACGGTTTTGTATTTTATGTGGTATATCTTGACATTGTCACTAGCAAGAATTTGGGGCTTCAAAAAAAGAATTTTAGATATAGAAGTTAAATATTATTAAATATAAATACAAAAATTTTATGTCATAATACCAAAACTACTGTGATTTTGTATTTTTTAAAATATTTTTCACATACTGCACATAATTCTGTGTTTTCATATGGTCTACTTTTTGATATTATCACTAACAAAAATTTAGGATCTTATAAAAAGAATATGGGATCTTTGATGCCAAAATTTTGTTAAATATAAATACAAAAATCTTCATATAGTTCAAGACAAAAAAAACCCTGCACCTATATATGCTTACAGAGAGGTACTATAGCCTTGAAACTTTCCCAAAACTTCTTTAGTTCGCGCTGCAGCAAGACCAAATAATCTTGAAACCCAGACCAAGTCTTTCCATGCCTCTTTTACGCCTTATGGCCTCATGATTTTAGAGTCTTGAGTGGTCGTTGGATAGATTTTATTGCGTAAATTGTTTGATTGTTTAATTTTAGTCTCTACTTGGTAGTTATCCCTTTTCAAAAACCTCAAAACTTCATATAGAATAAAGATCAACTAATGCATTGAAGATAGGCTAAATTTAGTATTGGCTTACTTTAAATCTCAGAAGCATACATACAATGGTTGCTATTAAGTACATATTATTTTTGCATATGATTTCTATGCAAAGAATTTAAGAATTCTAGACCCTTCACTTTCTTGAAATCGATAATTTAAGAAAAATTTTATTTTTAATGTGCTACCGTATATTCCCGAAAATAAGCTACTTTTTTGGAAAATTTTAAGGCCAAAAAATCGAGGTTGGCTTATTTTCGGGTTATACTGGTTTTTAAAGATTTTATTCCTGATATAGATAGCAGAAGTAGCTTATTATTAGGTTTTATTTTTGAGATTCGAACTGGTTTTTTTTTAAATTTTATTATTATTTTTTTTTTTCGATTTTTTTTTAAATTCTTTTTAACACTTTTTTTTATTTAATTATTTTTATTTATCGGTTTTATTTATTTATTTTTTTTTTAATTTTTGCTTTTTTTATCTTTTTTTAAATTATCGTTTTTATTGTTCTTTTGTATTTTTTTGGTTTTTATTTTTTCAGATTTCTTTTTTAACGTTTCAATTTATTATTTTAATAATTTATTTTTATAATTTATTTATGTTTTTGTTTTTATTTTTTATTCATTTTTATTTTACTTTATTAATTTATTTATTTGATTTTTTAATTTTAGTACGTTCACTAAGAAAATCAAGTTATACCAATATATATAGTAAATACGTATGCACGTTGTGAAAGTAGAAATAATCTAGTTCCAGATAATACTTATATACACTATAACACAATACTAAAACTAACCAGAGCACTAAAACTAATACAACCATACCCTAATATTGGTAAAGCAACGATCAAGGCGTGGAAAAACTTGGTCTGAGTAACTAGTGTGAATTGGGTTCTTAGCAATAGTGTCAGATTAGAGCTCTGAATTACGTCACGAAGCTTTTAATACAGAATCACAGGATTTGGTCACGAATTCTTACGGATTTTACTTATCTGAGGGATTAATAAAGCCAAACAATATGGTGCTCTAATAGAGCTGTAAGCTACGGTGAATTGGGTTTTTAGCGATAGTATCGGATTAGAGCTCTGAATTACATCACGAAGCTCTTAATACAGAATCACAGGATTTGGTTACGAATTCTTTTCGTTCTTACGGATTTTACTTATCGGAGGGATTAATAAAGCCAAACAATATGGAATTCTAATGGAGCTATAAGCTACGGTGAATTGGGTTCTTAGCGATAGTGTCGAATTAGAGCTCTGAATTACGTCATGAAGCTTTTAATACAGAATCACAGGATTTGGTCACGAATTCCTTTTGTTCTTACAGATTTTACTTATTGGAGGATTAATAAAGCTACGGTGAATTGGGTTCTTAGCAATAGTGTCAGATTAGAGCTCTGAATTATATCACGAAGCTCTTAATACAGAATCACAGGATTTGGTCACGAATTCCTTTTATTCTTACAAATTTTACTTATCGGGGATTAACAAAGCCAAACAATATAGAACTCTAATGGAGCTGTAAGCTACGCTAGCTATCTTTATTGAAGAGCTAGAAGGTACCATTTTATACTTTTACTTTGTTAGTGTGTACATTTTGAAGCTTAAAAACATGAGGTAGCTTATTTTCGGGTATTAGAGGTTTTTAGGTTTTTTGCTCAAAACCAAGGGGGTAGCTTATTTTCAGAGTAGCTTATTTTCGGAAATATACAGTACCATTAATGCATTATCTCTATATAAAGAGATTGAAGTTTTTAAATGCCCTGCACCATACATACTTTAAGGAATATATTTTTATCACATGTCAATTTTTGCCCTAGCGATGCTGTGGATGATTTTATGGCTAGAACTGAAAGAACGTTAGTAAAGATTTCATTATGTTGTATTCCATATGAATTAAATATAAGAAATAGGTGTACATAATTATATACTACCTTTTAAAAAGATCTAGCCACTTTTACTATAATTAGAAAATAGCTTCCAATAACGCGAAGCTCAATTTAACTTTGATATTAGCAATATCATTATTTAATATATATTTATTCTAGTTTCAAGTAGTTTGAATACAAATTTTGCAAATCATGGGTTCAAGCGATCGATCAAAATTGCTAATATGTATGACAGTGCAGAAATTTAAAAACCCTGCATAGAAAGAATATACCAAGAATAATGCATATGGCGTACTCAATAGCAACTATCCTGCATAATGCTGAAACTTAAAAACAAGCCTCTGCTAATAATAATTGATAATATATTAGAGGGGGCTATTTTTTATTTGATATAAGGTTTTTAAATTTCTAGCAACGTACGTACGTAATATAATTGAAAAAAAAAAGTATTATAATTGTGTCGTTGCTCTAAGAATATGCATAAATTTCAAATTATATAGAATTTCACTTCTTCGCATATATATGAACAATGTCTTTTCCACATGAAACAATCGTTGAAGGTTAAAAGCCTATCCTGATAATTGATAACCAGAAAATTCTGAATAGTTATATCGAATTTTCACAAAACCTGACTATACTTTCTATTATATACCCAAAATGAATAAAAAGCCTCTGATAATCAAAAAAAAAAGTGAAACATGTAAGCGAAAGTGTAATCAACATGCAACAGAAAAATTGCAATGCAGCAAGAACAATTACGATATATGAGATAAAGTATAGGAATGATAGGAATGAAAGTGTGTGAACGAAAGTAACATCAATCATGCAACATGAGTAATAGTATGTATGAGCGAAAGTGGTATCAACATGCAGCAAGAACAATTACAATATACGAGATAAAGTATATGAATGAAAGTGGTAACAATGTGTAAGCGAAAGTAGAGCATCAATCATGCAACATGAGTAATAGTATGTGTGAGCGAAAGTGATATCAACATGCAACAGGAAAAATTGCGATGCAGCAAGAACAATTACGATATACGAAAGTGGTAGCGATGTGTGAACGAAAGTAGCATCAATTCATGCAGCATGAGTACAGAGAGACCTCTCTAAATGCTCCACCTCTCTAAATATACTCACAATTTCTGGCCCAAGTATATACTTGACTCCCGTAAATGCACTTTTTCTTATTGTTCTTTAAATGCTCATTGTTAGAAGCTTGGTCATTATGGGTTTATTTAGAAAGGTATCTTTGTAATGGTACGTATAAGCGAAAATGGTATTAACCATACAAGGTGAACAATAATGATAGATACGTGTGTGCATATATATATATAGCCATAATATATAAAATAGAAGAACTATCAGTATAGAAAAAAAATAAAAAATAAATAAAAAACAAAATAAAAGTTTAAAGATACTTTTTGTTGCCCCATTAATCAATTTTCTCAACAATGCTTTATCTCCTGGTTCAGGTTAATAAAGGTATTAAATATATTATCTCTGAGCGTATAATGAGTATAGAGTCGATATGTAAATTTTTTGAACTTTTTGATTTAACTACGTTAGGACAATATGATGATCGAGAGGTAAAAGTTTTTATTCGATGAGAAAAGTCTGAAGGTTGGCGAGAAGTAGACAATGGGTTAGATAGTGATTTGAGAATGCTTGAAGTTTTAGGTTTTATGCAAGTCAAGTTTTGTCTTGCTTCCAATACAAATTTAGATACTTCAGTTTCAACTTAAGACAAACCAGATGCTTTCAGCATTTTAATGGCAAATTCAAGATGGCCTTTGCTTCCTTGTAATTGTAATGAGCGTAATAACTATGATCGACTTTATAATGAAATTATCAAACTTTTCAAAGTTCAACAGGTTGGATGGACAGGTGGTTTACATGAAACAATAAGAAAAGCATTCATAAATCATCTTGCAACTGTTCTTTGGTATATTGATCCACATCTTACAATACTAAGTGCATGCTCATATCATTTACCAGCTCTTTTTGCATGGTTGAAAATGTATCAGGATGGTAAATCATATGATGAGTATTATTATACTGGTTATCATAAAAAGAATCTATTGTCTCAACAAAAACTTGCACATCTTTTAAGTTCTCTTGAGATTTCTATAAGTCAATCATGGGTAAGTAGCAATAGGTAGAATCAAGTAATGCCTGCAGTTCTTTCGTTAATTGAAATTTTGAAAAATATTCAGACTATTTAATTGCAACCACTGCTAGTATGAATGAACTTCATAGCAATGAAAGTGCCCATAGTCCTGGAAATAATAGTACTATGTACCGAGTTAGTGCCTGTGAACCTCATCAACTTAAAGATGAATATGTTCAATTAGTTGATCTATTATTTGAAAAATCATTTTATGAATATATTAAAATTCAACAATATCTTTCAGATGATGCTATAAACTGATACAAATTTATGAAAGAGTTGTAGCTTATATTTTCCATTGGTATATATAGGTTAGTATTTTGATAGTATAGTTTTGTATTCAATTTTTTAGAATTAAAATTTTTATTTAATAAGATTTCATATGATTTATATTAAAAATAAAAACTTATTCTGACTTTTTAGAAATTATCAGGGCAATTATTTGGAAACAATTAACTATATATGGAGAGAAAATGAAATCTTATTAAATAAAAATTTTAATTCTAAAAAATTGAATACAAAACTATACTATCAAAATACTAACCTATATATACCAATGGAAAATATAAGCTACAACTCTTTCATAAATTTGTATCAGTTTATAGCATCATCTGAAAGATATTGTTGAATTTTAATATATTCATAAAATGATTTTTCAAATAATAGATCAACTAATTGAACATATTCATCTTTAAGTTGATGAGGTTCACAGGCACTAACTCGGTACATAGTACTATTATTTCCAGGACTATGGGCACTTTCATTGCTATGAAGTTCATTCATACTAGCAGTGGTTGCAATTAAATAGTCTGAATATTTTTCAAAATTTCAATTAACGAAAGAACTGCAGGCATTACTTGATTCTACCTATTGCTACTTACCCATGATTGACTTATAGAAATCTCAAGAGAACTTAAAAGATGTGCAAGTTTTTGTTGAGACAATAGATTCTTTTTATGATAACCAGTATAATAATACTCATCATATGATTTACCATCCTGATACATTTTCAACCATGCAAAAAGAGCTGGTAAATGATATGAGCATGCACTTAGTATTGTAAGATGTGGATCAATATACCAAAGAACAGTTGCAAGATGATTTATGAATGCTTTTCTTATTGTTTCATGTAAACCACCTGTCCATCCAACCTGTTGAACTTTGAAAAGTTTGATAATTTCATTATAAAGTCGATCATAGTTATTACGCTCATTACAATTACAAGGAAGCAAAGGCCATCTTGAATTTGCCATTAAAATGCTGAAAGCATCTGGTTTGTCTTAAGTTGAAACTGAAGTATCTAAATTTGTATTGGAAGCAAGACAAAACTTGACTTGCATAAAACCTAAAACTTCAAGCATTCTCAAATCACTATCTAACCCATTGTCTACTTCTCGCCAACCTTCAGACTTTTCTCATCGAATAAAAACTTTTACCTCTCGATCATCATATTGTCCTAACGTAGTTAAATCAAAAAGTTCAAAAAATTTACATATCGACTCTATACTCATTATACGCTCAGAGATAATATATTTAATACCTTTATTAACCTGAACCAGGAGATAAAGCATTGTTGAGAAAATTGATTAATGGGGCAACAAAAAGTATCTTTAAACTTTTATTTTGTTTTTTATTTATTTTTTATTTTTTTTCTATACTGATAGTTCTTCTATTTTATATATTATGGCTATATATATATATGCACACACGTATCTATCATTATTGTTCACCTTGTATGGTTAATACCATTTTCGCTTATACGTACCATTACAAAGATACCTTTCTAAATAAACCCATAATGACCAAGCTTCTAACAATGAGCATTTAAAGAACAATAAGAAAAAGTGCATTTACGGGAGTCAAGTATATACTTGGGCCAGAAATTGTGAGTATATTTAGAGAGGTGGAGCATTTAGAGAGGTCTCTCTGTACTCATGCTGCATGAATTGATGCTACTTTCGTTCACACATCGCTACCACTTTCGTATATCGTAATTGTTCTTGCTGCATCGCAATTTTTCCTGTTGCATGTTGATATCACTTTCGCTCACACATACTATTACTCATGTTGCATGATTGATGCTCTACTTTCGCTTACACATTGTTACCACTTTCATTCATATACTTTATCTCGTATATTGTAATTGTTCTTGCTGCATGTTGATACCACTTTCGCTCATACATACTATTACTCATGTTGCATGATTGATGTTACTTTCGTTCACACACTTTCATTCCTATCATTCCTATACTTTATCTCATATATCGTAATTGTTCTTGCTGCATTGCAATTTTTCTGTTGCATGTTGATTACACTTTCGCTTACATGTTTCACTTTTTTTTTTGATTATCAGAGGCTTTTTATTCATTTTGGGTATATAATAGAAAGTATAGTCAGGTTTTGTGAAAATTCGATATAACTATTCAGAATTTTCTGGTTATCAATTATCAGGATAGGCTTTTAACCTTCAACGATTGTTTCATGTGGAAAAGACATTGTTCATATATATGCGAAGAAGTGAAATTCTATATAATTTGAAATTTATGCATATTCTTAGAGCAACGACACAATTATAATACTTTTTTTTTTCAATTATATTACGTACGTACGTTGCTAGAAATTTAAAAACCTTATATCAAATAAAAAATAGCCCCCTCTAATATATTATCAATTATTATTAGCAGAGGCTTGTTTTTAAGTTTCAGCATTATGCAGGATAGTTGCTATTGAGTACGCCATATGCATTATTCTTGGTATATTCTTTCTATGCAGGGTTTTTAAATTTCTGCACTGTCATACATATTAGCAATTTTGATCGATCGCTTGAACCCATGATTTGCAAAATTTGTATTCAAACTACTTGAAACTAGAATAAATATATATTAAATAATGATATTGCTAATATCAAAGTTAAATTGAGCTTCGCGTTATTGGAAGCTATTTTCTAATTATAGTAAAAGTGGCTAGATCTTTTTAAAAGGTAGTATATAATTATGTACACCTATTTCTTATATTTAATTCATATGGAATACAACATAATGAAATCTTTACTAACGTTCTTTCAGTTCTAGCCATAAAATCATCCACAGCATCGCTAGGGCAAAAATTGACATGTGATAAAAATATATTCCTTAAAGTATGTATGGTGCAGGGCATTTAAAAACTTCAATCTCTTTATATAGAGATAATGCATTAATGGTACTGTATATTTCCGAAAATAAGCTACTCTGAAAATAAGCTACCCCCTTGGTTTTGAGCAAAAAACCTAAAAACCTCTAATACCCGAAAATAAGCTACCTCATGTTTTTAAGCTTCAAAATGTACACACTAACAAAGTAAAAGTATAAAATGGTACCTTCTAGCTCTTCAATAAAGATAGCTAGCGTAGCTTACAGCTCCATTAGAGTTCTATATTGTTTGGCTTTGTTAATCCCCGATAAGTAAAATTTGTAAGAATAAAAGGAATTCGTGACCAAATCCTGTGATTCTGTATTAAGAGCTTCGTGATATAATTCAGAGCTCTAATCTGACACTATTGCTAAGAACCCAATTCACCGTAGCTTTATTAATCCTCCAATAAGTAAAATCTGTAAGAACAAAAGGAATTCGTGACCAAATCCTGTGATTCTGTATTAAAAGCTTCATGACGTAATTCAGAGCTCTAATTCGACACTATCGCTAAGAACCCAATTCACCGTAGCTTATAGCTCCATTAGAATTCCATATTGTTTGGCTTTATTAATCCCTCCGATAAGTAAAATCCGTAAGAACGAAAAGAATTCGTAACCAAATCCTGTGATTCTGTATTAAGAGCTTCGTGATGTAATTCAGAGCTCTAATCCGATACTATCGCTAAAAACCCAATTCACCGTAGCTTACAGCTCTATTAGAGC